TTTTTTGCTTTTTAAAAAATTTTTAGGTATTTTTTTAAAGATTTTATTTATTTATTTGAGTGAGAGAGATAGAGCACAAACAAGAGGAGGGGCAGAGGGAGAGGAAGAGGCAGAATGTCCACTAAGCAAGGAGTCCAGGCTCGATGGACCCCAGGATCCCAGGGTCATGACCTGAGCTGATGGCAGACGCTTAACCAACTGAACCATGCCAGGTGCCTCAGTGGGGAACATTTTAGAATTATGCCTACCACACTGCTTATTTGCACACTCTATTTCTTTTCTGTAACACATATGGATTACTTTTGAGATAAGGAAAACACCACGAATGTTATTAAATAATAGAAAGCAAATCAGTCTCTCATGAGAAATATAAGTGCCAGAGTTTAAGAGACATTTCTCTTGCAAGTCTTCCTAGAAAAGATGCTGCGTGTACCTCTGTCAGTTAAATCTCTACTGAAGACAGAGCTCCATGGGGCTGTTCCTCATAACACCCTTGGTGTGGGACACTGGCGTCATGCCAAGTTACAGTAAAAGTAATTCCAGAAACAATGAAGTTCAATTTTTGGCAGACAGCTTTCAATCTTGGTGATGAGCTGATTTACGTTGGGGCTTAATATTTACTTTGGAGGAGTCTTTTCATGAACATTTTAAAGTTGTGTGTGTGTGTGTGTGTGTGTGTGTGTGTGTGGTACTTTGTGGAGAAAGTCCACTGGTTTAATCAGATTTTTGATAGAGTATTTTTGACTTAAAAAAAGCCCACAAAAACTGTTAAAGAACCATTGCCCTAGGGGTGCCTGGGTGGCATGGTAAGTTAAGCACCAAGTCAGGTCGTGATAGTGTCCAGCTCTGCACCGAGCACGGAGTCCGCTTGAGATTGTCTCTCCTTCTTCCTCTGCCATTTCCAATTGTGCTCGCTCTCTCTCTCTCAAATAAATAAATAAATCTTAAAAAAAAAAAAGAATAATTGCTCTAGAGAAGGATTTCTTTAGCTGGACCTTATTGATACTTTGGGTTGCCTAATTCTTCATTGTGGGAGGTTGTCTTGTGCATTGTTCAATTTTTTTTTTTTTTAAGATTTTATTTATTTATTTGACAGACAGAGATCACAAGTAGGCAGAGAGGCATGCAGAGAGAAGGAAGCAGGCTCCCCGCCGAGCAGGGAGCCCGATGCGGGGCTCGATCCCAGGACTCTGGGATCATGACCTGAGCTGAAGGCAGAGGCTTTCCAGGCGCCCCTGCATTGTTCAATTTTTAAGAGCATTCTCAGACTTTACCATAGAGCGCAGGAACATCCCCTACTTGTGACAATCAAAAAGAAAAAAAAAAACAAAAACTTTTAGATGTTGCCAAATGTCTCCTGGAGAAAATGGACCTTACTTTGAGAGCCACTGATCTTCTGGAAGAATGGAGGAACGAAATGTAACTCAGGTGAAATCTAGATAAAAACTGTCCTGGAGGGGTGCCTGGGTGGCTCAGTGGGTTGAGCCTCTGCCTTCACCTCAGGTTCTGGTCTCAGGGTCCTGGGATTGAGCCCTACATCGGGCTCGCTGCTCAGCAGGGAGCCTGCTTCCCCCTCTCTCTCTTCCTGTCTCTCTGCCCACCTGTGATCTCTGTCAAATAAATAAATAAAATCTTAAAAAACAAACAAACAAACAAACAAAAAACTGTCCTGTATGCAAATTGCATCTCTTCCAGTTATGATCTTGGGTAAATTACCTCCTTTCAGCCTTAGTCAGTTTCATGTGTAGACTGAGGATACAGTACCTACCAAACAGGGTTTTGATAAAGATCAAAAGAAATAAAGCGTGCAAAGCCCTTTGCAGAGTACCTTATATGGTAGGCACTTAAGATATTGTAGCTATTAATACTGTTCCCATAGGTGAGACCATTAGGTATTTCCTCATGTCCTTTATTTCTTCATTCAACATGTATTTACTAACTGGGGTCTGTGTGTCCAGATCTTTCTTTCTTTCTTTCTTTTTTAAAGATTTTATTTATTTATTTGACAGAGATCACAAGTGGTCAAAGAGGCAGGCAGAGAGAGAGGAGGAAGCAGACTCCCTGCCAAGCAGAGAGACCGACGCAGGGCTTGATCTTAGGACCCCAAGACCACGACCTGAGCCGAAGGCAGAGGCTTAACCCACTGAGCCACCCAGGCGCCCCTCTTTGTTTCTTTTTCAAGGTTTTATTTTTTTATATACTCTCTAACCCCGACGTGGGGCTTGAACTCATGACCCTGAGATCAAAAGTCACATTCTCCACCCACTGAGCCAGCCAGGGGCCCCTTAATTATTTTTCTAAAAAGTATGTATATATTTTGGGGGCGTCTGTGTGGTTTAGTTGTTGGGCACCTGCCTTCGGCTCAGGTCATGGTCCCAGGGTCCTGGGATCTGGCTCCATGCTCGTCAGGAGGCCTGCTTCTCTGTCTCCCATTCCCCTACTTGTGTTCCTTCTCTCGCTGTGTCTCTCTCTGTCAAATAAATAAAATCTTTTAAAAAAAAATTAAAAAAAAATTTTTAAGTACACTCTACCTCCCAATGTTCAAACTCACAACCCCACGATCAAGAGTTACATGCTCAGGGGGACGCCTGAGTGGCTCAGTCATTAAGCATCTGCCTTCAGCTCAGGTCATGATCCCAGGGTCCTGGGACAGAACCGCGCATCGGGCTCCCTGCTTGGCAGGAAACCTGCTTCTCTCTCTCCCACTCCCCCTGCTTGTGTTCCTCTCTTGCTATGTCTCTCTCTGTCAAATAAATAAATAAAATCTTAAAAAAAAAAAATAAGAGTTACATGCTCAGGGCACCTGGGTGGCTCAGTTGGTTAAGCATCTGCCTTCAGCTCAGGGTATCAGACTCCCTGCTCAGTGGGGAAGTCTGCTTCTCCCTTTGCCCCTTATCTCACTTGTGTTCTCTCTCTCTCAAATAAATAAATAAAGTCTTAAAAAGAAAAGAAAAGAAAAGAGTTGCATGGTCTACTGACTGAGCCAGTCAGGGTCCCCCAGATCTTTCTTAATGAGCTTTGCTTGAATTATTCCTGCTCAAGCCCTTATCTGGTAGGTATTATCATTTGTGTTTATTTTCTGTGATTGGCCCTTTTAATGCTAGCATAATATTCCATTACATCTATTTTTATTTCTCATCCTGGCCTCCCTTCTGAGATCCAGACATATGTATCTATCTGGGGGTCTCCCCAAGAATGTTTAAAATTTGGTATGTTTGGCCTATTAGCCTGGTGCCTAGCACCTAGTAAGCCTTCCATAAAAAGGAGCTACTACTGGCCATCAATGTCATTTTTTACCCCTGCCATTTGATCTACATCCTCTTTCTACTCCTCAGTAGGATCCCAGAATCACTTATTTTTTGTCAGCAGTCCTGGCCCTGGGTTAAAGTCCTGAGTTGTTGACCATGTGTGGGGGAGCCCTTGGGAGAATCCACCCTCATTCTCCCACCTGTGGGGAAGAACTGAAGCAATTAAAATGAAGATACTCTCGCTTCAAGTCCACACTACTCTGAACAATCATTTTGGTGGGGAGAATTTGCTAGCAGTAGACGGATATAAAGTTCCCCCACACAGCTTTGCTGGGTGGGCCAGCAAACGCTGGTGATTCATGGCCCCAAAGGTGCCTGTAGAGATCTAGATTTATGCTATGGTATGGTTACAGCAAAGGTGTCTGCTGTGTGCTCCAGAATGGTAGTTCATGGTTTGGGGGGCTGCAACAGGGAGCAACTGGGCAGCCACACTTAGGGAAGCAGGGCGGTGAAATGGTAACACTGGGGCGCCTGGGTGGCTCAGTGGGTTAAAGCCTCTGCCTTTGGCTCAGGTCATGATCCCAGGGTCCTGGGATCCAGCCACCCATTGGGCTCTCTGCTCAGCAGGGAGCCTGCTTCCTCCTCTCTCTCTGCCTGCCTCTCTGCCTACTTGTGATCTCTGTCAAAGGAATAAATAAAATCTTTTAAAAAAGAAATAGTAATGCCAGCAAGCTCTGGATGGGATAAATCTGGGTTTTCAGTCCATCTTTGCTTCTCATTATCTAGATAATAGTTAGCATGTGGCTCTGTCCTGCTGAGCTTCTCACTTTTCCCAACTGTACTGAGGTGATGCTAATGATATTTAACATTTAAGGACTGCTTATTCTTCAGTCAAAACAGGAAATTGTCTATTCAACCATTAAGAGTTATTTAAAAGTAGGATTTTTTTTTTGAATACAGAAAAGTATATATTCCCCACCTCACAACACACCCATTTTAACTTGGTGACACTTAAAAAATAAAGAAAACACATATATGGTTTGAAAATGGAAGTCAGAGTACAAAATGAGAAAAGCTTTCATTTTTCGACCAATTTATACCTACAAAAAAAAAAAAAAGCAATTTCATGGGTTTCAATTTAGTATGTGCCAGCCACCGTTCTAAAGCTTTATATGTTTTAACTACCTTAAATTCCTCAACAACCCCACGAGGTAGGTACAATTATTATCCTCCCTTGGTAATAATACAATTTCTCCCAAAGAGAAGAGGATCTGGAAGAGAGCACAGGCAACCTAAACAGCCTCCACGTGATTTAAAAGTTTGAGAAACACAGAGGTCAGTATATGCAGTTAAGTGCCAAAGAGGATTATCCGCCGAGTGTCCGAAACACAGCCTGCTGAGGCGCCACACTCGGCAGGTACTTGGACCGACGGGCAGTCCCTCACTGACCCACACGCAACTGGAGACCAGCCGCTACGTGGTTCCCGGGAGAAGGCGCGCCGAGTTCCGATGCCTCAACCAATCTTGCTAGAGTAGGCGTACTCCCTTCGAACAAAAGCGTTCGGAGTGACTGCCGCTATGACCACTCAACGCCGAGCCCAGGCCCGCGCCTCCAATCACAGCGGAACTTCCAATTGGTGAGGCCTTTCTGAAGTGGGGCGGACAGGAGGGAAAAGTCCCGCCTCCCCAGGGGTTTTCAGCCAACCGGAGAGTCCCGGCGGCAGCCGCCCGTTCGGTTGAGCTGTGTGTAAGGATCTGGGGCCTGAGGGCGGGGCGGGGAGCAGGCCGGGGTCTGTGGGGAGGGGACGCTTCCTGCGGGCGCGCGGAGCGGAGACGGTGACAGCCACGCGCGCACGTGCGCGCCTGGCCGCAGCGCGGCCCCGAGACCTTCACCGGCCGCTGAGAGGCGCGCGGGGGCTGGGCTGCTGCCGTCTAGGGGCCCCGTCCCGAGGCGTCCCCAGCGTCCCGGGCCCGAGTCCCTGAGCGCCGGGCCGAGCCCACCCCGTCGGTCTTGGCTCGTGTTTCGTCCCCGTGGCCGTAAGGGCCCGCCCCCCAACTCCCCTTTACGCTCCCGGGGCAGGGTCCTCACGGCCCATGCTGGCCGCTGGGGGCCCGTGCCGACCAGACAGCTCCCAGGCCGGCCAGTTGGCTACCATGGTGGCCCTGAGGCCTGTGCGACTCCTCCAGGGGGGCTAACAGGTCTAGAGCGCAGGCCTCGGGGCGCGAGGGTCCCGGGTCTGAGCCCTGCGCCATGGCCGGGGCCATCGCCTCCCGTATGAGCTTCAGCTCGCTCAAGAGGAAGCAGCCCAAGACGTTCACCGTGCGGATCGTCACCATGGACGCCGAGATGGAGTTCAACTGCGAGGTAACCGGCTGGCAGCCCCGACGGGCTGCGGCAAGGGGGAGCCTGGCGGAATCCGGCGGAATCCCCGCTCGCCGGGCCCTGTCGTGGGTCGGGCACGAACTGGGGCGCCCCTGCCGCGGTGACAGTCAAGGTGGAAGCTTGAGGGATTCAGCTTATATCGTCTCTGAGCATAGACAGAGGTGACCAGAACCGGAAGGAGCCATCTAGGCCCAAATCCTCACGTTAAAGATAATTGCTGCTCATTTTTCATGGGGCTTTTGGGTTTGGAAACACTTCCTGAAGGTTTTCATTCATTGTTACTGCAAGAGGCTGGAAGCATCCGTAGTGGCGAATTCTGGTGTCAGGCTTAAGTTCCAGCTCTGTGGGCTTTTTAATTATTTATTTATTTACTTCATTAGATATTATTATGTGCCCCAGGCATTAAAAGTTGCATCTTGTATATTGGAAAGTCTCTACTTCTTTCCCTTTTCCAAAAGCCTTAAAGGAAACAGTTGATGACTAATACTTTTGATGCAGTTTACATCATGATGATAACAGTTACTATTTGTTGAATATATTCTAAGTGTCAGTTGCTCCTACATTTAATTCTCACAACTACCCAATGAGGTAGGTACCCCAAACCATACATCATCTAGTAAGTGGCAAAGTGGGATTTCAAATCAAGCTTTTAGCCAAAAGTACTGTCTCTCAAGTAATTTAAGTCCTTGCTAGTCCAAAGTGTGGTCTGTGAAACAGCATTGACAGTAGTGACCTAAGTCAGGGGTTGACAGACTTTTTCAGTGAAGGGCCACGTAATAAATACTTTCAGCTTTGCAGGCCATGGGATCTCTGTTACAACCACTTAGCTCTTCAGCTCAGCTGCTATTGCACAAAAGCAGCTTAGGATTCATTTCCAGCATGACAGTGTGAGGGGTGTCATTGACCTTGCTCGTCTGTAAGACTGGTGAAAATTACTTAAAAAAACTCAACAATTTAAACCATCTGGAAATGGCCCTAAGGGCAAACATTTATCAAATGAATAAACATCTATTCAAGAAAATCCGAAAATTTGCTAAGAAAGGCGAGAGTCTATAGTATTTGAACCAAGGCTGCTACCTCTCTCCCCACTTCCAACTCAGCAAGGTGGAGACTCCATTCCAGACTGCTGCAGTCCAGAACACAGGGCTCCCTCTTCCCCTAGCTCCCTGTCAGACCACTTTCTTCCCAGGAGGAGCAGTACTTCAGTGTTTCTTATCCTGCTCAAGCCTACTTGTTGCTGAGACAGTCCCAGGTGTGTGTAGTTGAAATATGAGTCTTCCTTCTATCCAGCTCCTACTCACAGAATGGGAGCTGTGCCTTGAGCATGGCACATGACTACTGGGGCTCCCCAGTTGCTCTCATCCCAGACCCAGCTTGCATAATGGTGGTTCCATGCCAGAGGAGACAAACTGAGAAAATCTTAGGCTGTTGTGTGCCATCCCACCCCTTCCATCAAGGATTCAGAGATTTTACCTAGAAGGAGAAGAAGGCTTTAAAACCTGTGGTTCCTGCTCTCTTCCCAAAGACAGTTACTTCATTTGCAGCAAAATGTGGAGAAGTTTATGACTAAGGGAACTCTTAAAAACTGGAGGATTTTAAAAACTGGGGGGCACCTGGGTGGCTCAGTTGTTAAGTGTCTGTGTTAAGTGTCTGCCTTCAGCTCTGGTCATGATCCCAGGGTCCTGGGATTGAGCTCTACCACTGGACAGGAAGCCGCCTTCTCCGTCTCCCATTCCCCTACTTGTGTTCCCTCTCTTGCTGTCTCTCTCTCTTATCAAATAAATTAAATCTTAAAAACAACAAAAACAAACAAAAAAAACCCTGGACGATTTGGTGAAGGGGAGTTGGGAGGAGATTATGGATTTAATGAAGATACAGCCTAGGCTGTAGACCCACTACTTTGCAGGCGAGAGTCAAAGATTAAGATGGGGTGGGGAAGATCCCTTATAGGATTGAATAAACTGTTCCCTCAAAAGAGTCACCTTTGATTGGATTATTCTGTAGACCAAGTTATGCCCCAGGGTCTGGTTGAAAATAATAGAACAGTAAGACACGATTAAAGGAGTTTTAACAGCTAGGTGTGATAGGGGAAGAGAAAGTGCCCTGCTGAAACCACTGTCACTCCAGGATGACTGTAGCCATAAACAAATTTGTGTGTCTTTGAGGAACAACAACATCACAGGCCTTAACACTGTGTGAATGAAATAGATTTCACTAAAACATTCCAGCCAATCACTAAATAAGTAAAGAACAATAAAAAGCCCTGGGACTGGGGTAGGGAAAACCAGTCCAGTATCTATATTATTTAGATGATATATTACTTAAAATGTCCAGTTTCCTGCAAAAATTTGTGAGACATGCAAAAAGGTAGGGAAATATGACCCAGACAATGGAAACAAACTAGCAGTAGAAATTGCCATGAGAGCAACCAGATGTCAGATTTAGCAGAAAAGATTTCAAATAACCATTACAAATACGTTCTCAGAACTAAAGGAAAGCATGATTAAAGAAGGAAGGTATGACATTTTCATATCAAGTAGTAGAAGATCAAGTTAAAAGATAGGAATTACAGAAAAGAACCAAATGAAAATTCTGGAGTTGTAAAGCACCATAACTGAAGTTAAAAATTCATTAGAGGGGCTCAGAGTAGATTCAAACAGGCAGATGAAAGAATTAGCCTGCTTGAAGATAGAATGATAGAGATGATGCAAGCTGAAAAATAGAAAGAAAAAACAATGAAGAAAAAGGTACAGAGCCTCAGAAAAATGTGGGAAATCATTAAGTGCACATATGTATGGGAATACCAGGAGAGGAGAGAGAAAAAACATTTTAAAAAACAGTAGCTGACACTTTCTGAATTTGTTGAAAAACAATAGCGTAGACATTCAGGAAGCTCAGTAGACTCCAAGGAGGATAAACACAAAGAGATCCACAAATAGAAAAAGGGGAAATTCGGAAAGTCAAAGACAAGGAGAAAATCTTGAAAACAACAAGAGAAAAAGGACTTATAACATACAAGGAAACCCCAGTAAGATTAACAGCTGTCTTCTCTGCAGAATCTGCAGGCCAGAGGCTATGGGATAACATATTCAAAGTGGTCAAAGAAAAAACTTGTCAACTAAGAATCCTATAATATTTCAAAATGGCTATTTCAAATATGAAGGTGAAATAAAGACTTTTCCAGGTAAATGCAAATTGTAGATGTTGTTCAAAGACCTGCTTTACAAGAAATACTAAAGGAAGTTCTTCAGTCTGAAAGCAAGTGGCCTCAGACAGTAATCAAATCTACATGGAATAAAAAAAGAGCACTGGGAAAAGTAATTATATAATGACAAAAGACAGTATAAATTAATATTTTTCTTTTCTTGTAATTGATTTAAAGAGCAATTGTATAAAATAACGTATATAATGTACTGTTGGGACTATAACATACAAATATAATATATGTGTAGTGTACTTTCCAATAACAGCACAAAGGAGGTAGATGGAAGCAAAGCTGTAATGGGCTAAGGAAATGACCACAGATGGTCAAGTAACAACAACAATGTATTGTTGGGTTTGTAATTTTTACATATATATATATGTGTGTGTGTATATACACACATACATATATATATATGTGTATATATACATATAATTATATATATTATATATATAATTTTAATATACAAATATAAATAGTTTACAAAAAGTGAAAAGTGAAAGGATATATAGGTATATATAGATATAGGATCTATATATATAGATACATAGGATGTATATATCACTGGAATTAAGCTAGTATAAATTGCAAGCTGATTCTGATAAGATTTATCTGCTAAACCCTGGAGCAACCACTAAAAAAATTCCCCCAAAACACTTAAAAAATATGATGAAGAAATCACTAAATAAATGTAAATGCTTCATTAGAAAATATTCACCTAATGTAAAAACAAGTAGTAAAGGAGGGATGGAGAAACAAAAATGTGAAACACGTAGAAAACAAAAGTAAAATGACAACTGTACCCCAAATAATTAGATAACTTAAATGAGATGGACAAATTCCTGGAAAGACACCAACTACCAAAATTTACTCAAGAAGAAACAGACAATCTGAACAGACCTATAACCGGTGAAGAGATTAAATTGGTAATAACAACGCCCACAAAGAAATGTCCAGACTGTATGTACTAAAGGCCCAAATGAATTCTACCAAACATTTCAAGAACAATTAATACCAGTTCTTCACATGCTCTTTCAAAAGAATAGGAGAGCAGGGACTACTTCCCAACTCATTTTATGAGGCTGGCATTACCCTGATACCAAAACCTGACAAAGCAATCACAAGAAAACTAGAGACTAAGATCTCTTATGAATATGGAAGCAAAACGGGGTGCCTGACTGTCTCAGTTAGTGGGTCATGTGACTCTTGATCTTGGAGTTGTGAGTTCCAGCCTCATGTTGGGTGTAGATTACTTAAAATATGGAAGCAAAAATTCTTATTTTTAAAAATTTTATTTATTTTATATATAGAGAGAAAGAGCATGAGCTGGGGGGGGTATAGGGAGAGGCAGACTCCCTGATGAGCAGGGAGCCCCGACACAGGACCACAGGACTCAGTCCCAGGACCCCGGGATCTCTACCTGAGCTGAAGGCAGATGCTTAACCAACTGAGCCATCCAGGTACTCCTGAAAGTAAAAATTCTTTTTTTTTTTTTTTTAAGATTTTATTTATTTATTTGACAGACAGAGATCACAAGTAGGCAGAGAGGCAGGCAGAGAGAGAGAGGGGAAAGCAGGCTCCCTGCCAAGCAGAGAGCCTGACTCGGGGCTCGATCCCAGGACCCTGGGATCATGATCTGAGTCGAAGTCAGAGGCTTTAACTGAGCCATCCAGGCACCCCGGAAGCAAAAATTCTTAACAAAAATATTAGCAAACTGAATCCAGCATCTATCTATCTATCTATCTATCTATCTATCTATCTGATATACCTATGTATGTAT